GGGAGGGCTGGGAGCAGCTAGTTTCACCTTGTGGGGACTGCGGGTGGGCTGACCTGAAAGATGGGACTTCGGTCCTGGTGGCTGTGACTTCAGCTCTCTAGGACTTTATTCCTTCATCTGAGAATGGAGGTGGGTAATGGTACCTGCCTCAGGTTTGCTGTGAGAATGAAGAGGTGAGAAATGTAAATGGCAACACACAGGGAGTTATGTGGGGCCTGGGCTCGGCAAGGAATGGCCTCCGGCTGCTGTCCAGGAAGCCAGTTAGGGCAGAACCTGCTTTAGATCCAGGCCCCACCGGACCACTGACCTCCAGCCCGCTGCCTCTTGGCTTGCAGAGCGAGTGCACGAGGAGCTGACGAGGGAGCTGGAGGCCGGCCAGGTACCAGGCTTGGGGGACCGTGCCCACCTCCCGTATACAGACGCAGTTCTACACGAGGCACAGCGACTGCTGGCGCTGGTACCCATGGGCGTGCCCCGCACCCTCACGCAGACCACCTGTTTCCGAGGGTACACCCTGCCCCAGGTGGGTATGCCAGATTGTCTCTGCCTCAGTGCCTGGGTTTCTATTTCTGGCTCGTCCTGAATATCTTGGTCTCTTTCTTGTGTGTGTGTGTGTGTGTGTGTGTGTGTGTGTGTCCATCTCTCATTCCAAGGATTCTTTCTTATGCTTTCTTACTTTCTGTATGCCTTTCTCTTGTCCTTTGACCCTGGGCCTCAGTTTCCCCCAACTAGGATGTGAATTCCCCCAACCTCATTCCAAGGTGGTTGGGACAATCTGATGAGGTGACAGACAAGGAAGCCATTTGAGAACTGAGGCCCTCGCCTCAGCCCCTGCTGCAAGCTCATGTACATACACACGTCTCACCATGAGCACACGCCACTCACAGCCATAGTACACACGGTCACTCACCATCGCATAGGGTCCCTGACCCTGAATTGATGAGCAATGCCAGCCTACCACCACCAGGGGGCAATGTCTCCTCAGAAACTGGAGGCAGCTCAGCATTCTGTCCTTGGACTTCATTGAGGAATCAAACCCCTGGTTAGAATTGAGCCCCACTGTTCTCTTAACTTCACCCTTTGAGCCTCAATTTTCTCCTGTCGAAATTGGGGGCAAACATGGTGTGACGGAGACATCAGACCTCCTCTAACTTCACAAGGGGGAATGAGAATCAAGATCAACCGCCCCAGGCTGATTCCTCTGAGGCAAATGTTAGACATGCCTACTCTCTAACCTTTTTACCGATTCTAATATTAGCCATCCCTCCCACGACACTCTGTACTTCCCTGGTTTGATAATTCATTGCAAAGGCTACACAGAACTCAAGATAACACAATTATGAGTCTTACTAGGGAAGTAGTAGATTACAGATTCAGGTTCAGGAATATTCTCGATACAGTTCTTTGGTCCGGACAACCGCTTCTCAGCTTTTCCTGCAGGCAGGTCTCTCTGGTCCTTGCATGCCATCCCACCCCATCCCCAGGGACCTCTTGGGTCTTTCAGGTCTCAGCCCTGCTCTGAAAAGTAGGAGACCGAGTAGAGCTGTCCCATAGGATTTCTGAGAATGTAAATCTTTACAGAAGCAGACAATTGCATCATTGTCCTGTGGTTCAAACCAACCTTTTGGTTACAGCCCAGTGCTCAACACACTGTGCTACCAGGACTCTTTAGCCCATTATGTTGTTGTATGCCGTCTAGTCAGTTCCGACTCATAATGATGACCCTGTAAAGGGTTTCTAAGAAGCAGCTGGTGAGTTTGAACTGCCAACCTTGAGGTCCAGGGCCACACCAGGACTCCTGGCCTATTATGAGAGCAGTCTATAAAAAGGGAGCTCTGGTAACCGTAGTGGTTATGAGTCAGGCTGCTAATCCCACGGTCAGTAGTTGGAAACTACCAGCGGTTCCGCGGGAGAAAGATGAGGCTTTCTGCTCCTGTAAAGAGTTACAACCTCGGAAACCCTGTACAGGGTCGCTAAGAGTTGGAACCGACTCCATGGCACATAACCACCACCACCACCATAAATGATGTGACTGTCATGTTTTGTGAAGTGGTGTCTGTTACACTCGGGAATCTTGTGCTCCACACCCAGGGCAGTTTACCTGCTCCATGATGAGTATTCGCAGTTTCACTTTCTTTCCCTCAGGGCACTGAGGTCTTCCCCCTCCTTGGCTCTGTCCTCCATGATCCTGAGATCTTTGAGCATCCAGACGAGTTCAACCCAGATCGCTTCTTGGATGAGAACGGAAGGTTCAAGAAACACGAAGCGTTCCTGCCCTTCTCCTTAGGTATCTTCTGGGACCGTCCCTACCACAGCCTACCCGCTGGTCGAGGCTGACCCTGGGTGTCTGTGTCAGCTGGGTGTCCCCTCCTCACGCCCTGGGCCCCCCTATGCCTTCCTCCTGGGCCTGGGTGTTGGGGGGAACTTGTTCAGCCTCCTCATCTCTTCTCACTAGGCAAACGCGTCTGCCTCGGGGAAGGCCTGGCGAGAGCAGAACTCTTCCTCCTCTTCACTGCCATCCTGAAGGCCTTCTCTCTGGAGAGCCCGTGCCCACCGGACGCCCTGAGTCTGCAGCCGGCTGTCAGTGGCTTTGCCAACATCCCCCCAACCTTCCACCTGCAGGTCCGGTCCCGTTGACCCCACCCCACTTGAAAGGACCAGAGGAAAAAGGAAGGAGCTTTGGGAGGTGGGGGTACCAAAGACTGTACCCTCACCCCACCCCACCCCTGGTCTCCACAGAGTGACGGGAACAGGGTGTGTCTCAAGCCACAGGTCCACACCACAGTCAGCTGCACTCATACGACAGCAGCTGGTTTTGCTCAGACACACAGTTTGTGTGCCCACGGGCAGACGGGGGACACGTCACATGGTTCATGCGGCCACCACAACGCACAGCATTGGACAGACATCAAGTTAGTCCATCTGGAATCGCAACCATGTGCCCAGAGAACACACCAATCAACTCAAATGCTACCTTCTTTGTCCCTCATCAAACCTGCTAAATACCTACTGCATCCAGAACCCCGGAACAGGGAAGAACAGCATGTTCCTTCCTGGGTCATGTCATCAGACAGAGACCACCCCTGTCCACGGTCTACCACTTTCCAAGCCTGTGACCGCCGCTTTCAACTGCCACCTCTGACCATTCTGCCACTTTCCCCCTCTCAATAGGTCATCACTAGGAGGTACAGCTCACAGGGAGGCACCACCCCAACCACCAAAACACCTTCAGTAGGCAAGGATCTCCCTTTCCAAACTCCCTGATGCCCCAATTCTCATAAACACATTCCTGATGGACAGTTATGCACAAAGATCTGTGAACCAAATAAACTTGGGTATACCAGGACCCTCAGATCAAAGGAACACACACACACGCACACACATACACTCGACTAATGTGACCGTGTTGGAAGCCCCCCTTAATGCCATACTGTGGTTTGAGCTGTATGAGGGCTGGGGTTTTACTCTGCTTCAAAATTCCAGTTAGACCCAGAGGGAGGGACTCCATAGGCCAAGTAGAGGCCAGATCCCAACCCCTAGCCTCGCTTTTTCAGGGAGGAGGTCAGATTTGGCATCCCCTGTGACTTAAAGGCCCCTGTTTTGCAATGAACATTTATGTTTTGTTTTTTTCTGGCCCGTGGCAGGGCTTAGAGTGGGTTTGTGACTGCATCCATCACAGAGTTTAGGGTGGGGTTGGTGTAGTTCACTCCTCCTAACCCCCTCCCCCGAGGCCGGGTGGAAGCTGAAAAACACAGCCCCGCCCACCCTGGCTGGTGACGTCAGCACCAGATGTGGAGCAGATTGCTGGGCCAGCGAGGGGGACTGGGCGGGGCCTGCTGTCCCTTGCCAAAGTGAGAAGTAGGGTACCGGGAAGGGGTCGTCTTAAGGGGCCTGGGGCTGCTTCTGGCCAGGAAGCCCTAGGAATTGTTCAGCTCTGAAACTGAATAAATTAAAAAAAAGGCTGACCCCACCTCACTGGCCTCTTCCCTCACCTTTTCCCACCCCTCTTCTACAAAAGAAAAACTTCATTTTCTCAGTCATTAAGTATGGATGTTTACAAAAACACAAAAGTAGGACAGTGTAAAGAACCCAGCTCGCCCAGCTGCTCTGTACTCTGCCCGAGTGTCAACAACTTTCTGCTATTTTCATTTCATCTGGTTTTTGGATTTAAAGAAAATCTCAGAAAATAATCGAACATGCCATCTCCAAAGAGTTCAAGCCCCACTTATCTGTCAATATCATACTGTGGTGGCTTGAGTGATGCTGGAAGTATACCAAATACCAGCGGGGTCACCCCAGGTTTCAGTGAAGCTGGTGTGGCACTGTGGGCTAATGCACTGGACTGCAAGGTCGGAGGTTCAAGCTCACCAGTCGCTCCTTGGAAACCCCATACAGGATCGGAACCAACTCAATGTCACTTAATAACAACAAGAAAAAGGTGATCCATTTCTGTGTATTAGGGGTGATGGTTCTGTGCTGTGAAGTCGGTTCCAACTCATAGCAACCCTGTACAGAGTTTCCGAGGCTATAAATCTTTACGGGAGCAGAAAGCCACAACTTTCTCCCGCTGAACAGCTGGTAGTTTCGAACTGCTGACCTTGAAGTTAGCAGCCCAATTTGTAACCATTACGCTACCAGAGCTCATCTGTTGTTGTTGTTAAGTGCCATCGAGTCGGTTCCGACCCATAGCAACCCTGTACAGGGTTTCCGAGGGTGTAAATCTTTACGGGAGTAGAAAGCCTCATCTTTCTCCCGTGGAGTGGCTGGTAGTTTCGAACTGCTGACCTTAAGGTTCGCAGCCCGATTCGTAACCACTACGCTACCAGAGCTCCTTCTAGCCACTGGAAAATCTTAGGAGTAGCAGCAAACCATTCATTGTCTGATGTAAGGCTAGAAGATGAGCCCCTCGGGTTGGAAGGCACTCAAAATATGAATGGAGAAGAGCTGCCTCTTCTAAGCAGAACCGACCTTCATGAGGTGGACAGAGCAAAGCTTTCAGCACCTTCAGTTGCTGATGGGGCACAACTCAAAATCAGAAGAAACAGCTGCAAACATCCATTAATAATCAGAACAGGGAATATAAGAAGTATGAATCTAGGAAAATTGGAAGTCATCAAAAATTAAACAGAACTCATAAAGAGCGATATCCTGAGCTGAACTGTACATGCATTGGTCATTTTGAATCAGACAGTCATGGTTTACTATCCCAAGAATGACAAATTGCAGAGGAATAGTGTTGCATTCATTGTCAAAAAGAACAGTTCAAGATGTGTGTTGAGATACACCATCTGTGATAGGGTAATGTCCATACGCCTACAAGGAAGATCAGTTAATATAACTATAATTCAAATTTATGCACCAACTACCAGAGTCAATGATGAAGAAACTGAAGAAGCTTACCAACTTCTTCAGTCTGAAATTGATCAAACATGCAATCAAGATGCATTGATAATTACTGGTGATTGGAATGCAAAAGTTGGCAACCTAGAAGAAAGATCAGTAGTTGGAAAATATGACCTCGGTGATAAAAGACAATGTTGGAGATCCCAGGATAGAATTTTGCAAGACCAAAGACTTCTTGATTGCAAATACCTTTTTCAATAACGTTGTTAAGCGTCATCGAGATTGTTCTGGCTCATAATGACCCTGTATAGGGTTTCCAAGACTTGTAAATCTTTGCAGGTGCAGAAAGTCTTATATTTCTCCTGATGAGCAGCTAGTGGGCTCAAACTGCTGACCTTGTGATTTGAAGTCCAGTTCTTATCATAGGGAGCCACATAGACAGTAACTATATACACGGACCTTACCAGATGGAATACACAGGAATCAAATTGACTACATCTGTGAAAAGAGACTATGGAGAAATCAGTATTATCAGCCAAAATAATGTCAGCGACTGTGGAACACACCCATCATTTGCTCATATGCAAGTTCAGGTTAAAGCTGAAGAAAATTAAAACAAGTACACAAGAAGGGGCTTGGGTATATTTCTTGAGTGTATTTCACCTGAATTTAGAGACCATCTCAAGAACAGATTTGATACATTGAACACTAATGACTGAAGACCAGAAGAATTGTGGAATGACATCAAGAATATCATACATAAAGAAAGGAAAAGGTTATTAAAATGACCAAAAGAAGGGGAAAAAAAGACTAGAGTGGATGTCATAAGAGACTCTGAAACTTGCTCTTGAAAGTACAGTAGCTAAGTGAATGGAAGAAATGATGAAGTAAAAGAGTGGAACAGAAATTTTCAAAGAACAGCTCAAGAAGACAAAATATTATAAAAATACGTGCAAATACCTGGAGTTAGAAAACCAAAAGGGAAGAACACACTCAGCATTTCTCAAACTGAAAGAACTGAAGAAGAAATATCAAGCCTGGAATTGCAATATCTAAGTAGTCCATGGGCAACAAAATGTTGCATGATGTAGAAAGCATCAAAGAAGATGGAAGGAAAAAAAAAAAAAAAGAAGAAGATGGAAGAAATAATACAGTCATGGAACCACAAAGAAATGGTTGATGTTCAACCATTTCAAGAAGTAGCCTATGATCATTAATGAAGGCGTTAATGAAAAACAAGATTCCAGGAATTGATGGAACACTAATTGGAATGTTTCAACAAACTGATGCAGCGCTGGAAGCACTCACTAGGCTATGCCAAGAAACTTGGAAGATAGCTGCCTGGCCAAGCAACTTGAAAAGATCAACATTTGTGCCCATTCCAAAGAAAGACAACCCTACAGAATGTGGAAATTATCTAAATACTATCATTATATTACATACAAGTAAAATTTTGCTAAAGATAATTCAAAAACGGTTATAGCAGTACATCAACAGAGAGCTGCCAGACATTCAAGCCAGATTCAGACGAAGACGTGAAACGAGGGCTATCATTGTCGATGTCAGATGGCTGTTGGATGAGAACAGAGACAGCTAGAAAGAAGTTTTGTTGTTGTTGTTTCTAAGTGCTATCAAGTCGATTCTAACTCATAGTGACCCTATCTATATAGGGTTTCCAAGGAATAACTGGTGGGTTTGAACTGCCAACTTTACAGTTAGCAGTCCAGCTCTTGTCCCACAGCGCCACACCAGGACTCATGCTTTATTGACTGTGTAAAGACTTTTGACTGTGTAGATCATAACAAGCTATGGATAACATTGTGAAGAATGGGAATGCCACAATACTTTACTAGACCTACAGGCAGTTGTTCAAACAGAACAAGAGGGTACTGTGATTGTTAAGTGCCATCAAGTCAGTTCCAACTCATAACGACCCTGTATAGGATATAGCTGGTAGGTTTCAACCCCCCAAGCTTGAGGCTAACAGTCCAGTGCATATCATACAGTGCTACACCAGGACTCCAAGAGGATACTGTGGTTGTTAAGTGTGTTGAGTCAGTTCTGACTCATAGCGACCCTGTATAGGGTTTCCAAGGAGCATCTGGTGGGTTTGAACTGCCAACCTTGAGGTTAGAAGTCCAGTGCTTATCCGACAGCGCCACACCAAGACTCCAGGAGATACTACATGGTTTAAACTCAGGTACGGAGTGCTCCAGAGTTGTGTCCTCTCACCACACTTACTCAATCCGTATGTTCTTGTTAAATGCCATCGAGTTGGTTCTGACTCATAGTGA